CCCCCTTTGCACCCGCCCCCTCCCTCCTTCCAGCCAGTCCCTTTTCTCCTGCACCCCCAACTGCTAGCCTTGGACCATTCCTTAGCACCGCACCAGCAGTGGGAGGGGGGGCCTCATCGTGCGCCCCCAGCCCTCTCTGCACAGACCAATGGGGGCGGGAAGGGAAGGAGCTCCTGCCCACATCCTTCTATGGAAACTTCCACCCAGTGCAAGACAGGCAGCTGTAAGGTTTCTGCTCCCCCCGAACCTGAGACTGGTCCTTCTCCCTAGATGCCAGGTTGAGAATGTTGGGGACACAGTTGGAGGGTATGTGTGTGGGGGGGAACCTAGAGGACTGTGGAGTCTGGCCCGACTCTTTTGCCAACCCCAGGGGCCCCCTCGTGGCCCCGCCCACCCAGTTTTCCTCTCCTAGTCTCCTTGGCACCAAGTCAACATGCCAGGGTGGGCTTCAGAGACTCGCCTTCCCCTCCTCATCACCCAGCACCCTGGGGGGACGGAGCCTGCCCAGCACAAATCATACATTCTAAGCAGCTCACCCCCCCCATACACACACCCCCAACGGACCAGGAAGTCGCTTGTGTGGACCGCTCACACACCCCCAGCCCCCACCCCTCCCCCACTCCACGGCGCGCGAGGTGGAGCACGGGGTGCGCAGAGGAAATGGGACCCCAGCCTCCACCCCAGCCCCCCCCAGCACCCCTTCCCAACACCACCAAGTCCGGGCCTGGCCGGGGCGCGTAGCCGCCTTCCCGCGCGCACCCGCCTGGCTCCCCGAAGGGCCCCCCACCCCCACCCCCACCCCGAGCGCAGCTTACCTGGAAGCCGGCGAAGCTGCCGCCCACCTCCCTGCTGCGTGTTTTTGCAAACCAACAGCGGGCGAAGGCCCTTCTGCCGGGCACTCCTCTGCCAGCGCCGCTCTGGCCGGGTCGCGGGGGCCGAATGTGCGACGGGGCAGAACGGGGGGATGGCTTTTTTGGTGGGGGGGACGTCTCCTCTGCTTCTTTAGGGAGGACGGGCTATCTTAGGGCTGGGGCAGGCCAGATGTTGTACTTTCGGGGGGGAAAAGGTGTCGGGAAATGAGGTCAGCTGTTGTATCAAGGACAGAAGGGGGGCAGAGATAGTCGGAGAGACAGAGTGAACGTGAAAGGGGGGGGGACACAGAGAGGGTGAGAGGGAGAGGGGACAGCGAGAGGCGGGCAGGCTCACAGCGGGAGAGAACAGCACCGAGAGAAACAGAAAGCGTATAATTAATCCACTTGGGTAGGCGAAGGCCAAGGGCGGGCGTGAGGGGGGAGGGAGTCTGAGGCCAGGGCAGCGGGGAGGAGGCGGGAGGGGAGCGCGGGGAAGGCGGCGGGGAAAGGCGGCGTGGGGCGCACCGCTAGCTCAGGGCAGGGCGCAACGTCGAGGGGTCGGGGACGGGCGCAGGGGGGGCGGAGTGGAGGCGGCACCCCGGCCGCGGGCACCCAGCTCGGTCAGGGCCGACGGAGCCCTTGCCGTCGCAAGCCCGGGCCTTGGAGGGGGGGACAGGCGTGGCGGCGCCGCGGCC